CAGCCGGGTCCACAAGTTCCAACGGGTCCAGAAATCATGGAGGCAGAATTTCAGCCGGGTTCAAACAAGTTCCAACGGGTCCAGAAATCATGGAGGTAGAATCGCAGCCGGGTCCAGACATCCTAGATCCCTCCACTCATCCCAAAGAGACTCCAAGTGTTTCAAGACAGCCTTGTGAGGATCCAGCCCTTCCCGTATGGAATGATTATATGGACTTACAAAATTTGGTGCAACAGGAAGGAGAAGAAAATAATCATACGGATGGGTGGGTCAAAGACTGTTTAGATCATTTAACCTCGAATGAAATTGAACTGTTATGGAATTGCATTTCTGAAATCACATCGGAAATGGGATAAAAAAACCAAAACAAAAAAAACTTTTTTTAATAACAAATTGGAGGAGGGTCATGATGTCAATTAAAAAAAATATTATATAGAGTCCAATCTTGGTGGTTCACTTCAGTTTTCCAGCATGAGGTGATCCACGTTTCCCGAAATATGGATCCCATTCCAAGAGAGATTGTGTAGAGCCTTCACTTCAGTTCTTTTTTTTTCCTACCAAGAGGAGAGGGTCCCCAAAGGGCTACCCATGTCCAAAGAGAGAAAGTGTAGAGCGTTCATTTCAGTTTTTTTTTCAAGTTTAGGGGAGGGAGGTCTCAAAATGACACACCCCCCATTTTCAAAGAGAGATGGTGTAGAGCGTTCATTTCTGTTTTTTTCCAAAGTTAGGGAGTTTTCAAATGGACTACCCATTTCAGAGAAAAGAGAGAAAGAGAGAAGGTGTAGAGCGTTCATTTCAGTTTTCCAAGGTTAGGATGGTGGTGGAGAATCCTCCAAAATGGCTACTCATCTCAAAGAGAGAGAGAGAGAGAGAAAAGCGTAGAGCGTCCATTTCAGTTTTCCAACATTAGAAGGTCCCAAAATACCTTCTGAATTCAAAGAGAGATCGTGTAGAGCGTTCATTTCCAGTTCTCCAAGATCAGAAGAAGAGGGTCCGCTTTTCCCAAAATGGCTTTCCGCATTCAGAGACAGCGAAATGCAGACTTCAGTTTTTCTCCCTCCCCAAGAATAGAGGGTCCCAAAATGGCTTTCCATTTCAAAGAGAGAGGGAGAGGCGTTCATTTCCATTCTCCAAGATAGGGTCGTCTGCATTTTCCCAAAATGGCTTCCCAATTCAAAGAGAGAGAGAGAGAAAGGGTGTGTAGAGCGGTCATGTTCATTCTCCAAGATAGGGTCGTCAGCTTTTGCTCAAAATGGCATCTCCCCATTCAAAAAGAGATCGTGACCAATTTTTTCCAAGATGGGGGGGGGAAGAAAACCTAGGATGGAATAACACGACACACAGAGAGAAAGAGAAAAAAAAACGCCATCTTGTCATTTTCTGATAGGGTACCGGTGTTCGAATACTTTTGTGACCGACTGTACAAGTTTATTAAGTTGGTGAGCATTTGTTTTAGTTCTCGGGAGCACTGATATGTCAGCTCCAGTATCTACTAGAAAACATAACTGAGTTGAACGATCAGCCAGTACTATTCTGTCGATGTGGCGGACATTCTGTTGGCCAGCAGAAGACCGCCCATTTAGTTTCCCGCTTGTACAAAAGTGCATGGAGGGGCACACTTGCGAGCCAAAATTCATATGATAAAAACATATGCCACTTGTGGGTTCTTTGTACTGCGTTCGAGTATTATGACGAGATTGACTCCTGCTTCGGGCACGAAATTTATTACGTGGGCCCTGATTTGATCGATTGTATCTCCGTGAAGCATGAAGACTTGTAGAGAGTTCAGATACTTTTTTGGTCAATTCAGCCACTTGTTGTTCGAGGGATGAACTGGAAGGTGCAGCATTAGCAGCACTGACATAAGCCGGAGTAACAAGTTCATTAATTTTGTCAGCCATTGCTGCTAAACGGGTTAGATCTTCATTGGAAGCAGCGAGAATTATTTGTATGTTATTAGGGAGACGCGAAAGTCATAGTGACTTCAACAAGTCGTCACTAAAATGGCTTCCTGCCAGATCACGCATTCGTGACAGCAAGTATGAAGGTCGCTGATCTCCAAGTTCAAGTCCTTGTAGTAAAGTACGTATTTTTGAAGATTCACTTTCTGAATAGATTTCAATGAGCCGCTGTTTCAGTTTGGAGTATTTATCACAATCAGGTGGTTTGAGAATTAAGTCATGCGCTGAATTCAGAATATCAGACTCAATTGCTGCAACTACATGGTTGAATTTTGTAGAATCCTCACTAATGCGAGCGATAGAAAATTGTGCTTCGATCTGAGCGAACCACAATGAAGGATTATTTTTCCAGAAAGGCGGTGGCTTCACCGCAACGCGTGTGATTTGTGGCTCTGGTGGAATATCGTCGGGCATACTGATAGATAATTTTCACTTTAATTAATAAACACTTATCAGCACAAATATTGTAGCATGAGGATACACTATTGATATTTTACCATGATAACAATAAATATTTTAACCATTCAGAAAAAATTACGTAACGATACACACACAAATAATACAGGGTCAGCAATGACACACACAAATAATATTTTACCGAAATGCATTTGAAAAGAAACCCTTATTTGAGAAAAAATGATGCGTTAATTTTGTATTGCGCAAGCACAAATTCACCACTTCACACTGCTAAGGCACTTTCGAAGGAAAAAGGAAATCACTCCTGTAGCACATGGGAAAACAATTCACTACTTTCGAACACTGAGAAAAGAATTTTGCCGTAGCACGTTGCACAAAAGTTACTGATGTGGCACATTTAGCGAAAATCACTGTTGTAGCACATTTGTCGTTGAATGATCGAAGAATTATTGCACGACTGGCGAAGTCAGCGGAACGGAACAGATCACATTGATGATTTGCTGAAGCTCCTTGCGATGATATGCACGACTTTGAAAAAACACAAGCAATATATATCAATACTTCTAGAAATAATTGAAGGGGTACGTTGTAGCATACGTTTAATGTCCATATTTGTTGTTATTTTAAGTCAGTTCTTCAGAATGCCTTGGATGCACGTGGCTTAGGGTCGTTGAAAATCCATTGTCAGTAGCGTGCTCAGTCAAAAGGTCACCACTTTTGGTGGTCGTGTGTGCTTAATGCATGATATAATTAAAGAAAATAAGAATAGACAATCTCCTATAACAAAAGAATATATTAAGTACTAAATTACAATTTAAATTACATTGAAGAGATCAACACAGAGCTCGGAACACAGTTCATGCTAGCGTCGTCACGTACACGTTGTGTGACGAGAAGTCTGAGTGAGTAAAGATGTCGCTTTGCTGCTCCGATTAAGAACTGGATTTTACACGTGGCGCCATCTCATGAATAGAAGTTGAAGTATCTGTCGGAACGCCACATACCTTGTATTCACCCTTGACCAAAAACTTACCTTCAGAACCCATTTCCGGTCCGTAGTACAAAAATTTAAAATCACCACAGCTACTATGCGACCTCTTCTTGGTAGAAAAAGCAACTTATCTACTACAAACAAATTAGTTCTATATCGCTCCATACTGCGCCCAGCTCTTCTTTATGCAGCACCGATCTGGGGACATGCAGCTAAAACCAATATTAAACAATAACAAATTCTACAAAATAAAATTCTACGAGAAATTATCAATGCTCCTTGGTATATTCCCAACATCTATATTCACAGAGACCTTCGAATGAACTTATTCAAGAGTATATTAAACGATTAGCGGTCAACTTCTTTTATTCAGTAGAAATCCACAGTAATAGCCTTATTAGCACTCTCAGACACTCCTCGCGTCCCAGAAAGAAAACATCGCTACCCATGTGACATCCTTCCCACATAAGAATCACAACCTTAATTGACTCATTCACGTAAAACTGACTCTGCGATTTTACCACCCGCGGCTACATCTTATAACGATACTGAACTTAAAGCCCCCGTTTTTTCGCCACTGCTAGTGCGGACCTCACTCTCTTTCATCCGCCTTCCACACTCCTTTCACCTTTCTCTTTCTACCCCCACCCGCTCTTTATCAGAAGTCGAGTAAAAAGATGTTTCTACATCTTGACACTCGAGAATAAAATATGATCTGTGTGTAAAAATCACAATCTATACTCATCGATTGTCAAGAGATCCAGAAGGGTGTGAATTGCTGATAAGGAATGTAGCGTCTCTACGGAATAGTTACTAAGAAAAGAACCACGTGACTTTGCTATTATTACTAACTATTGTATAATGTTAGAATTTTATGAAAATAATAAATAAAGAAATTTAATGGCACTTTAGTGATAGAGAGTAAGATATTGTATAGAGAACAGAATGTTACTTATCTGAATATTCCGTGTCAGGGTTTCTTTTGGATTTCTCGTGTTGATAGTGAACAGCGAATAAAATATTTGAAGTTTCGAAGAAGGGAAGTTTCCGAAAAAGCGGAAACATCTGAAAAAGCGGCTAATGTTAATCATAAGCATTATTGTGTTCATTTCCATTTATTATAGAAACCTACTTTAGACAGAAAAGAAAGGGGTAAATAACTTTACCTTCTTTTCTGTAACTTAAATATACTGCCATTCTTTTGTAATTTTAGAAATTTCTATTTAACTTCAATATAAAAATGGCCTGCTTCCATGTACGAATTGCAGATGTACATTAATTTCGCTTAAGTTATCAGTAATATTTAATCAATTTCCAATTTACTACTTGTTAATAAGCTTACGATAAGTGTTCTCTGTCATTTACTATAATTAATATTCAGATTTGCATTTTCTGATAAGTTATATAAATTGATCAGGTATCATATAACTGTTTGGAGTACTAAATAGGCTTGAATTCTTTATTCTCAAGCTTTAAATTATTGCGCCTTAAAGTTCTACAGTCACTATTGTACTCCGGAACGAAACAGGCTCTGTTGGATGTCTATTGCATTAAGGTTGACTATTGCATTATGGTTGACTGCAGCGTCCTCTATAAATTTTTAAAGCGACGAAAAGTAGTAATATGTTTACCTCTGTTTGTATCTTACGTATGGTGGTAAACAAATTATGGCGGCAAATCCAGTCCATGAAAAGAAAATGCCCCCAAAATTTTATAAAAATTGTCCTCAAGCAATATTAAAAGTGATTCCAAAAGAATGCGATAAATTAACGTTTTCCGAGCTATCTCCTGGAGAAAATTTTGACAATAAGGCTATTGTCGTATGTGTTTCCTCTAATTTTTTTGGCTTAAATGTAGAAACGAAAACTTCAACTAAAATTTGTGATATGTTATTTGAAGGATTAATTGTTATGATGTAAAATTAACTGTTATATTTTGCAGCTTTCTGAGTGCGTAATTTCGGTATCTTAATTTAGACGTTTTATTATTGTAGGGGCCATTCACCTTTATATAGAGAGAGATAGATACTTTTTTATGAGTCGGGTTTAACGATTCATGTTGTAGCGGAAACGTTTTCTTCGCAAAAAGATGCTGATGAATAAAATTTCCTGAATTTTACCTAGAATACACGTAACTTCATACATTAAAATAAGATTTTATCAATCAGAGATGATTACTTCGTAGCCATCAGGTTCTTTTCTGTTGTTCCCGACCCCAGATTGTTAATGAAAATTTATTATTACTAACTGTGAATCTCCAAATAAAGTATATTTTCATATCTTTGACAAGACCGTCTTTAGAACTTGAAAGTGTCAATACCCTAATGAAAATAGTCTTTAATGAAATTTATTACAATTTAAGGCCATTACTATTTTGTAAAAAATGTATTTAAAATGACTCTGAATTTCTCACAGATGTAATTTCATTTATGGTTCCTATTTTGTTTTTCCTGCAAAACTGTGTATAAAGATAATTTAAAATAAATATTAATACTTTCTTAAAATAATCGGGGAAGTGTAGAATCACCCACTGCTTCGCACGTTTCTCAAAATCGCCAACTTGAAAATAACAAGTCAAAGCATTGCACACACTTTGATATCCATGTTACAGATCGACCTATTTTCACCTAAAAAAAATATCGGAGAATTGCACAAATTTGTCATTGCGCACTCTCTTGACTTTGTCTATGTACACATCGGTACATACCATATAAGTGGGCGATTCAGCATCAACTTGAAAATAACAAGTCAAAGAATTGCTCAAACTCAGTATCTTGTACACACGACCTATTTTCACTTTAAAAAAATTAGAGAATTGCACAAACTTGGCATTATGCAGGCCCTTATCTTTGTCCATGTACATACATGTCATACAAGAGGGTGATTCTGCATTTTACCCAATAATCCATATTTATTTCATGTTACCATCATATAATCTTAAATGTTCTGTAAACAGAGTATTACCATGACCATGACATTATCACTGATCTTAAATTGGCCCTCATGTATATAAAAATTGGTCACCATCATTACAGATTGTGAAAACTCTATTTTATTTCATATATTAAATATGCATGTGTAATAGTCTAAAAATTATGACTTATTTAAACATTAATATTTTCTATTTTTCAGGGGAAAATAATCAGTGTGAATCCTGTTTTCAAAAGGCCAACTGGTTATGGAAGGAAACTTGTTATCATGGATGGTAAAACTGCATTTAATTACTTGAACTATCCTTGAATTTTAACTGTTTTCAGTTCTGAATTAGCTGACAAAAATGCAAAATACAATGTAAAGTCTGAGATCTGGAATCATTGGGACTTCTGGATTTTAAATCAGTGAAAATCTAGAGAAATGGCATTCAGATATGGCAACATTTGAGCTTTACTTATTACCGTATTTGACGGCATATAAGACACACTCTTTTTTCCTAAATTTGGTCTCAAAAAAGTTATCTGCGTCTAATACGTGAAGGACACCGGTTAACTTTCAATACTGAATGCTATTTTTAGCCCAGATAAAGATCTAGACACACATAACTTTTTCTACATCTACATGTGTGTGGCCTTCTAAATAAGGGTGTGTCTTATATGCCAATGTGTCTCATATGCCGTCAAATACGGTATTTAGATCAGAATAGAAAATAGCTGTTCCCTCATAACAGCTCAGAGACTGAAAGTGTTATCCTGGGAAACATCAATACAAGTAGATATCAATGAGTTTCTTTAGCCAGCAGATGTTTGAAATTGACTTGCAGAAATTTCAGTTAGTCTGGAGAAAAATCGCATTTATAACTCATATAACTCACCTTTCTTTTAAGTGTTGCATTAATCACTTGCACTACGACTAAACTTCACGGTTGCGCTGCCGTGCGCTACAATATAACAAGCAGTAAAGTGTCTCATTTATGCAGCTCCGTGTCTGCGAGTGCAATCCAGAGCTGTAACTCGAGAAATAAACAATTTTGTTGTTAGGCGACTTGTGCACCACGTTATTTTCATTTTTGCAATAAATACCCATCGACGTGGTGTTCACGTCGCTCGCGGTTTGAGACAAAAGCATCTCGACGTGCTTGGCACGTCTTTTTAGCGCAAGTGGTTAACTGTTCTTAAACTTTGCAAGCTGGAAGAAAATATTTTTATATTATTTACTTATTTTTTAATTTATTGGCTGGTGGAATAGGTATTAAACGTTTGGATTTCAGATTACTGTATGAATAAATAATATGAACACTTCAGATTACACTATATACCTCAGTAAAGAGTTTACCGTTAAAAATTCCCAAAAATTTTTAAATGTAAAATATTGTAAATATGTTTGGTATTCTTAGAAAGGTGATCTGTGAATATAATGAAATCCAAAAGAAATGGTAATATTTCTTTACTAAACCAGACAAAAAGCAGCGTGTAAATAAATAAATAAATACAAAGAAATTTTACATACTTACTTTTATTGCATTACTAGATTATTAAATTATAAATATTATCAAAAGAATGCACTGATGTGGCTCTAAAGAGGACCAAGTCATATCACTCAATGGTCGTCATTATACTTTAAAAACATTAAAATACAGTTCAAGGAATCCTATTTGATATCTGTTGATTGAAGCAATTCTATTTCACTTTTGTCAATGGTCATCATTTTACTGCTATAATCAGATGTAAAACAATGTTGATAACAATATCTATTTTTCATTTACGCAAAGTCCTGATGTCTCTCAATGTGGCCAGAAATTTGTTCTCCTTTTTGTCAGATTGCCATCTTAATTCAGCAAGGTGGCAGGCCAACATCATAATACTTGTTTTCATATTCCATACAATAATTAAGATGATATCACAGACATTCTTTCAGAGTGTTGGCATCAATAATATTGATTAGATTTTAAAAGTCAATTTAGTCTTGAGAAGTATTGTATGCGAGATCTCATAAATGGAAAATTTAAGATCCCTTGTTTTATGTAGTGGTAACACATTACTTTAAACATAGGGACTGATTAAATTTGAAAGATAAATCGAAGATTTTATAATTTGCTATATACAGTCAAAAGTTGTTAATTCGGACACCCATAATCCGGAATTATCTATAATCCGGACCTCAAAGCTACAAATTTTCTGCGCATGCATCGCATTGACCTTTACGGCTGCGAATATGCGTGTGCGCGTGCGCAAAATACGTTTACGAATGCGCATTTAATGTATAACAGATGGTATAAGCTAAGCTAAAATTATCTAATTCAGTTAACCGCTTCCCTTACACATTTGAAAAAATTGCAAAAAATCATCACATTTTTTTATTTTATTATTAAATACTAGGAATTGAAACAAAACAAAATATATAGGTTTTAAGTTGAATTTTTAATTTTTTACAGGTGTAAAAGCATTTAGTTTTTATATTAGTTTTTATATTAGTTTTTATATTAGTTTTTATATTAGTAACTATCCCGAGTTATCTCGGGCAAATAAAAAAAAAAATAAATATTAGTTGTTGTATGAGAGATTTTGAAACAAGGGACAACACAAAGTGATATCTAGCATTTTATACACTGGTAATCTGGTCTCTTTTCTTACTGGCTTACCTCTGGAATCTCTTTTGCGGGAGCACAGAGGACACTGTCTCATTGGATTTGATTTTTTTTTCAGTAGCAGGAATAACATCTGAAAAATGCCTTGAGGTTATAATCACTATCTAAAAAATCATCGCTTTCGCTATCTTGCATCATCACCATTATTTTACTTTTTTCAACGTAACTATCATTCTTTACACATTACTAATCCACAAGCCGACATATACTAGACAATAGGGAAAACACATGACCAGTCTTGCCAAAAGAACCACAAAACCATCAAAAATTGGCAAATTGCCAATAAAAGCTGAATATTTCCTTTCATTTCCACCAAGCCGAGTGAAACCGTGATAAAACAAATCGTACTGACAAATTCTGCTTTGCCCGAGTTTTCTCGGGATAATAATTAACTGCAATATATACAAACTCGGGATAATCAGGCAAGCGGTTAATGTTGCAAATTGCATTGTTCCTTAATTTCGAATTGGATCCGGCTTATTATTTTTTGCAGACCGTTAGAGCAATTTTATAAAAGTAAGCTTGAACTTTCTATTATGTCAGATAGAATTTCTGATATATATTTAATAATATGTAAAGGATCTACAAAGCAAAAGTATGTTTCGAAGTCCATTAAACAAAAAGTAGAATTGCTGCAAAAAAGGGATAAAGGCATATTCTTTGTTTATCTAACCATTCCGAAATCTGTTTATCAATTTCACGCTGCTCTGCGGCAGACGCCGCTGTGGGCAATGAATTGGAAGTTGATCTGTCAGCACTATCCTTATCTTCAGGGCAGATGTTTTTATTTTATTTGGCGTATAATTCCTTACTAAATATAGTATTTCATCTCTATGTACTCCGTCTTTGATATGATTTAAATCAAATTCCTTGTCATTATAATTCGCTTCCGATAGCGAAGAAACTGTCTCAGAGGTTATTGAAAACGAAAAAATTTCAATTGACAAATTAGTCAGTATTCTCGACACAGCAATTATAGGACTTGAACAGCGGAACTTTGTAAATGAACAAGAAATTATGTCTGTATTTAGAATTAAAGAGAAAGTATTATCACATAAACAAACGAAGCAACTTAAACAACTTACATTGAAAGAAATTTTTAATAAAGTAAACAAATAAATATTAAGCTTTTTTTTTTGTAAATTTTGATATTCTTCAGATCATAATTGTTCTTTATTTCATAAATTACAGTTTCATATTTTTAATTTTATAATTTCTGCATGCCATCTTACCATATTTAAACTGATGATCTATAATCCGGAAAAATTGATAATGCTGAATCGCCGAAGTCCCGACGAGTCCGGATTAACGACTTACTGACTGTACTGAAAATTTGTTTTGTGTGAAGATGTGGAAAAAATAAATTTAAGATCTTATATTTTCTTTAATGACACCAATGAATTGCTTCTGGTTCTTTCCTATTCCTTGGTTCCTTACCAAGAATTGCTTCTGGTTATCCAATTTCCAATGCATAATGATATCTACATATTTCATTTTGCCAGATCAAGGTTATAGATATTAAATTTTAACATTAAATCTCCTTCAAGATGTAAAACTAAGAGACTGCTTTGTATTGAAACTTTTGGTTAATCTTTGGATTATGGTAACTTGGCGATTTTTTGGCAAAAATTTGGTGACCAACCATGCTACAGCAACCTGCTAGTTTTGTTTTGGATGCCATTTTGTTTTCACAAAGTAAAGGCATTTTTTTTTTTTTTTTTTTTTTTTTACTCAGACGAAGATTAGGTGCAAAATTGGGAGAAAGTGCAGAATCACCCACTGCTTGCCGCCTTTTTAAGAATTGCAAATGCATGGTATCATCCATGTACATGTCGACCTATTTTCACTTAAAAAAAGTCATTCCAGAATTGCACAAAAATGCCATTGAGCACACTCTTGACTTTATCCATGTACACTGCTTAAGTCCTAGCTAGTAACCTTTATCGCCTTACCAAAATGTTGCCAACTACCTGTTACCATATTCCAAAGATTTGCCAAACTTTTATTTTTAATCTTTCATTTTATAATGAAATTTTTAGAATTTTTATAACCTTTAACAAATTTATCAAATAATTTGACTTAGTAGAATACATTAGAGAATGTTCAATACTTAAAAACAAATTATATTGTTAACATGGCTTATTCGCAGTCCTAACCATGATTTTATAACTCACTAAAACAAATCTTAACACCTTTTTCTTTTACTTCAGAAACAAAATCTGCACCAAACTGATGTTGCTTTTATGACTAATTTTAAAACAGTCACTTACTTTCGTAATCATTATTACAACAGAAACATCCCAAATTAGTGCTTTTATGACTAATTTTAAAACAGTCACTTACTTTCGTAATCATTATTACAACAGAAACATCTCAAATTAGTGCTTTTATGAATTTATCATGTCGTTTGTCTTAAATGATTAAAAGCCAGCTGCCATATCCTTGGGCCTAGGCTTGAATCCCTAAGATGGCATGGAAGTTATAATATCTTTATAATATAGCAGTTAAAATACAGAGTTTAAAAAAAAGGCTTCAAAAAGAATCTCCAGATTTGAATTATATATATTATGAAAAATACTGAACATGAAACTTAACGATTAATTTTATATTGCATGGCTAATCATGAAGTCTTTTTACAAATTAAATTAAAGGTGCTAAATTAGTCCACCTTCAGATGCACAACATATGTCAATATGATAGTTTTTAATTCATCCCAAACTGAGCATATCTTCATCCACTGCTTCAATGACTGTTTTTATACTTGTCTTCAGTTCAGCTAATATAGCTAGAAGTGGAGTCACAAGGCACATAAACAGAGTCTTTTGTAAACCTTTATAAGAGGAAATCGCACATTGAGAAGTCAAATGATCGTGGACACCAGTGATGTTTAATAGAATGGTCAGGTAGCAGGCGGCCGATCTACTGTTGAGTAATATGATTGTAAAAAATTCTCCAACCTTCAGTGTGGTGGGGCCCCATCCTGCTGGTTTTGCAATTGTTTATAACAATCCAAATTGTTTATACCATCCTGTAAGCTTGAAGGATGTGACTTGTGTTAGTTCTTATAAGATGACTCCATGTTGCTAAACAATCACTTTATTAACAGAACTATTCATTAAATTGGTGAAGCTTCTGCACGATACTTGAATCTTTCAGGACCCCAAGTAAAGGCAATATGTGTCTTCAGCTGGTCGTGCTTTCAGCTATTACGAAACGGGATGTCAGCTGGAGGCATGTGCAGCCAAACATAAGACAACCACAGCATATAACCCCATTGACACAGTCACAACATAAAAGGGCTTGATTGCAAGATTCTAATTTAAAGTATGTGCATTCCAATAAAAGTTATACTTTAAAATGTATATGTAAAATAAAATACAGGATATATAAATAGTGATATGCAAGTAATAACATACTCAAAATTCTAATTGAAATATATAACAATACAATGCATATCATAAATAAAAATAATGAAATAAGAATTTTAAGCAATACCCAAGCATATAACCTCATTCCTCAAAAAATAATTAAAAATACCTTAAAAAAAGCTGACGTTAGCCTTACCAATTTTAGATTTTTTGAGTTAGATAATGATATTTTATACTTAAAGCCCAATGAGACGACATAAAGTGGATGGCTGATTCTGAGAATCTAATGTATAAATGTACAGATAATTCTTGTCAGTACGTTTTCTTTCCTCCAAAAAATTTTGGCACAATACTTTTAATACTATTGTTTAAATAGTTTTAAATTACTTTGATGTCCAATTCTACTCCTGTTATTAACAAACGGGCCTTTTCGTTTCGTGAAGCTTGATCGCCGTCTGGCTTGAAGAATTACGACTTTTATTAACAAATGACTGTTTTTTCCCATTTTTATCTTACTTTTGTGGCCATGTTAAGTAATTTTCGCTGAATTAGCCATTTTCACTTTTTGCGACAGTCCTTCTTCTTAAAACAACTTGACAGACACCATTTTGAACTTTTCCCATGTCTTTTGCCCCCTATAGCTTTTGGGTGGGTTTCCGCCAACGGACAGTCTTTTGACATTGGCTGTAGCCCAGTGATTTTGTTTCCTCCTTCTTACGTCATAGGACAAGTTGGAGAGCGTTGAAAAGCACGGAGGGGAATTACAACCCCTTTTTGTTTTTACTCCACGATAGAGAAGACAGCATTGCCACAGGTCTGTTTTTTTTTTTTTTTTTTTTTTTTAAATTTCTTGGTCTTAGCAAGACCCACGCTGTTAGTTTTTATTTTTTCCTTATTGCTTTAAATTTAATTTCAGATTCATTTATAAAGTTTAATCTTTAAGCTTGCAGGTCCAGCCTGTACGTTATTGTATATTTTGATTAATAGACCACTATTTATTTTATTTTTATTTTATTTATTTTATTATTGCTGTACATCGGAGTTGCATTTACATTTTTACACCTTAATGTGTCATTTTGTGCGGACCGTTGGGAAATTGGAACAGAGAATTGAGACTAAAAAAATTTTTTTAGGACAGTTTATTTAATTAATTAAAAAATTTTGTAACTCAAAGTTTCAATTGTCTGTTTCGGCGAAACGCATAATGGAGTTAGCTTGTTTTGACGTTTACCCAGAAATTTCCCTTGAAAAGCCAGGCTGGACCTCGAAATGTGCTAATTTACCATTTTCCGCTTTTTTAATTTTTATATGTTTTAATTTTTTATTGTTTTAACTTGTTCCATCGATTGGTTTTTTACTGTGTTTATTTTTTGCCTTTAACTGTTTCTAACGATTAGTATTTTACTGTGTTTTATAATTTACCTTTTATTTCACATGTAGCCTAATATGTCACCTCTTTCAATTCAGTTTTTTAAAACTGTGCTAAAATTTCCGAAAATATTTAACATATAGTTTTTTATTCGAGCTTGTAAAAACTACTGAATATGCATATGTTGGATATTTCTTCGAGCCACATCTTTTGGTAACTTTTATGGCGAGCTAATTACAATTTCTTTTCCTCATTTCCTTAATTTTACAAGCACATTGCGCAAAAAAATTTTGACCAAAATTTGTCTTTTTTGTATTGTTACTTACAGCTTTAGCTTATAATATATATATATATATATATATAATACATTCCAACAATATATATCCTGGTTTTAAGCAATCAATTTAAAGTATAATGTGTTTGTTAGTTACTCCAATAATAAAATTTTTCTCCATCCATTTAACGATGTCATGAGGTCCAGTGTAAGGTGGAGTTAGAGGAGGTTTAACAGAATCAATCCGTAGAAATACATGAGAACAGGTTTGGGGTCCCGGGTGTACATAAATTGATGGTTGAACATGCGTAGAGGTTGGAACCGGTCTTATGAATGCAAGACTGATCGAAGCTGTGAAACATAAGATAGTACAGTAACATTTAGCATATCTTAAGGGTTGTAATCGTAAACAAGTTCAGCATAAGTAGCATTTATATCTTTTTTAATGGCAGATCTGATACCTAACAAAGCTATAGCAGAATTTCAGTCCATTTTGGATTGTTATGAGCCATTATTGCACTTTTAAGCTGTCTATGAAATCTTACAGTTGGCCCCATAGTAAGTAGCATTTTGAATGCGATGTGTACTGAAAACCTTTGTTAAATCCTTAAATAAGTGAGATTCAAAATTTCAGCCTTGATCAGTTGTTATTGATACAGGGCAGTAGGTTTAACTTGTGGCCATCTGTTAAACCGGTCAGTAAGTGTTACTGAGGTATTAAGTGTACCTCAGTAACTGTAACTCAGTTTACATTTTGAGGTTCTGTTTTCCTCTGTAACATGTTTCCATTGTCATTATCTTAGAACCTATCTTTTTACTCACTGTATATGGTTCATATGTGTTATTAGGAAAATAAAGTTTGGTGTTGAGGAATTAAATGGCATGTTAATGTCCCAGTACTTGATAATTTTTGAGACACTTGTAAGTTTTTTTTTTGTAAATTTCTGCTGAAATAGTTATTTAAGAGGGCCATCATGTTCTTTTAATGGACTTCCATATGCTCCCAAACTTATCCTTATTCAAATACATGCTCTATCATTGGTTCCCTAATTTGAATAAGATATAATATCCCAATATAAGATTCTGTTCTTAATTTTAACTTCACTTATTTTGGTAACTTTGTGTTTACAAAATAAGAATCCTCTTTTTTTTCTATTATTTGTGTCTGCCTATTTATGTATTGTACATTAATGTATTGTTTCATTAAATTTTATGTGTTGCATGTAGTTTAAACACTATTTTGGGTTACTTTTAGCTCTTGCAGATGATGATGAAAATCAGAAGAGACTGACTATTTTCTTGTTCAATCAGTTTGCTCAAGATTCAAATGCTGCTGAACCTGAGGTTTATTAATATAATTAATATTCTCTGTATTTTTTGTTTTTGATTTTGAAAATAGTGCATCTTAATTTAAATAAACATGAAAATGCTTAGTATTTTACAAAATAGAAATTAATACATATATTCTCTGTATTTTTTGTTTTTGATTTTGAAAATAGTGCATCTTAATTTAAATAAACATGAAAATGCTTAGTATTTTACAAAATAGAAATTAATACATAGCAAGCAATTATATACTATATCAAATTATTCATTTTTTAACTAAGCTCATCTATTTAGAAGCAAACTAAGGGATAAACTGATGATATATTTATAAATGAAAATTAAGAAATAGACCCCTGATTCAGGTGCTACTGAACCTGTGGTTTATTAATATTATTGGTATTCTCTGTATTTTTTTTTCTTTTAATTTTGAAAGTAGTTCATCTGAAATTAAGCAAAATTAAACATGAAAATCCTGAATATTTTACAAAATGAAAGTTAATAGATGACAAGCAATTAGAACACTAAAATTATTTATGTTTTTTTACTAAGCTTAACTATTTAGAAGCAAACTGCGAGGTAAACTGGTGACATATTTCTCAAAGAAAATTAAGAAACAGACTTTTTTAAAATAAAAATTAAGAAATATACCAAATTTTGTATTTTTGATTCTTTTGTGATTGTTTGTATTGTCATGATCCCAGAAGCATATTCAAATTCATTTTTTCATTTGTTAATGAAATGTTTTTGTTATTTCATTTAATTATTGTTTATGAATGTGATTGATGAATCATGATAATAAATTAATTTGATTTTCATTTGATATTTGTTAATAGTATGTATAAAATCAATATACTATATATAAATTCAATTAACAAGTATAATATGATTTTATAGATATATATATAAATTTAATACAAGATATAGAAATCTATATAGAGAACAGTTTTCTTTTTATATGTATATTTATATACGTAAATGTATTATCAGCCCAACCTCTGAGTGGGATTGGACTGATAAAGACACAGATTATTTTAACCCGTGAGCTTATGCAGCGAGTATTTTTGACCCGATGTTTCCTATTGTGGTTTTCAGATATTTTAGGAATTTCTTAAAACTTGCATCTGTCACTTCCAGTACCTTATTGGGTAGTCTAGTAAGAAGGATTCCTTGGAACAAAAACTTTAAAAACAAATTTCTTTTTATATAGGGGTAGTGAGTCTGGGTCAGTTTTACCTATTGCCTGTGCTAATGTTCTGCTGTCATTTTATATTATGAATTTGATTGAGCATGAATAGAAACAGCAGAGGCTGCAAGATCTTCTCGCAGATGCTTCGCCAGGAAGGGAAACTGATGTGAAATATAGTTGTCATGTGAGAAAAGAATTTAATAGATTAGCCCCAATAAGAAACGTTTTTGGCAGAATAGGTAATTTTGAAAAACTGTATTGTATATCTGAGTATTGACTGAAAACTGGAACTGTTTTGCAGGAGATGAAAGTTTTGCCAACACATTGAGAGCAAACCAGCAAAATATGGTATAAAAATTTTTGCACCGAGTAATTATTATACTATCTATAAGTTCAACAGTAAAACCAATCGTTGGTCACACCGAAATTATTTGAAGGAACTTGCTGTTAACTTAATACAGGAAGATCTTCTTGATAGATCAGAGAACACAAATATACCAGAGAGTAGTAGAAATAGCACTAAAAAGGCTCTAGATTTACAAGGTGACAGACTGGTGAAATTCAAAGAAATCTCTAACTCGTCATTGATGTGAAGATTGTCAAAAAAAATCTGATCGAAAGGCTTCACCTGTTTGTGAAGAATGCAATAAATCATTGTGCAAAACTCATTCATTATGTGCTTGAATGGTTTTACAAAAAAAGAAAAAAAATGCTAAAAATTATTTCAGTGAATTAAGAAAAAAGGTAATTTTACCAAGAAAATTTAATAAATCTGCCAACTGAATGTGAATGCTCAATAATTTAATTCATTTTTACTCAACATTTTCCAATGCAAACAGGGTTAAAATTGTTCATTTTATTATTTCAGCATCGTTGTTTTTCTTAGATTAATTTTAAGTTTTAAACTTTAACTTTTCTTGTTTCCACAACAGTCTGATTTATTTACTTCTTTTGTTGCACCAAATCCCTGATGACAATGTACTGAAACATATAAATTTCTTCTTTAATTTTTGGTTTTGACATGTTTTCTTTCTTTATATTTCAGTTTGCCAGTGTGCTTCTGATTTTTTTCCCTTAATTTTTTGTTTTTGCGTATATTTATTTTGAATTGAATATGATGCATATGGATATTTGCATATGTTTATTTTGAATTTTAAGCATATTATTTATTTTGCATTGTGTATGTGTCAGTCTTGGTAACAATTGTGCAAGATATTTTTTCAACAATTGTGCAAGTCATTTCAATAAATATTTTCAGTTTATTACATATATATAAAAAACAAAGAATTTTCGGTGCTCTTAAATATATATGTACGTATATAAGTGTGTACACACTCAGGTACATTGTGCCAAAAAAAAAAAAATGGGACAGTTCTATATCTCCCGTTCTATTGGGTCGATTGCCAAAATTCAGATTGCGTTCTTCATGTATCGAAAGCGCGACTTGGGATGTATATTAAATTTATATATAGCATTGTTCCAACATAAGTATTTTGACAAAAAATCAGATTTTTCTGAAATATCATACCAATTTTTTTCCATATTTCAATTCTACGACTCAAATTATGCTAGATATTAAATTTTGCAAAATTTGTCACGAAATTTACAGAGAAATTCAAAAATTTATCTTGCCACAATTTTTTCAGTTTACGCCAAGAATAATTCACTTGGCGAACTTCTTAATATATGACAACCAATCTTTTTTCCCCTCCCATTATGCCGAAGCAGGAAAAAAGGTATCTTGTTCCTACCTTTTTACATTGTGCATGAGCGGAAAAAAAGTCGCATTGTTCCTACTTTCAAATAACTAATGTCTAAACCACATTTGGTGTTTTAATGTCTAAATGTCTCATGTCTGTTAATTTTGGCCGCCATCAAAAAATTATTAGGCTAGAGCACTTAAACACTTTAAAATTGTGATAATTTAAAATATTGCATACAGATTACTAAAGGCATAAAAACCTTAACCGGAAGATAAGACAACATAATTCAATCATTTAAGCAAAAAATGACAATTTACAAATATATAAGATTAAAGAAACTGAGATCACAAGCCAGGGTATTAGAGGGACATACAAGGTGTGTTCGAAAGTTCGGTGAATTTTACCATAAAAAAAAAGGAAACAAGAGAAACAAGCAAAAAGTTTCTGGCCTTCAAAGTATTCGCCATTACAACAATACATTTTGACATGGGTGTAGAATTGTTGGAAATTATCTACAAACGCTTTTTCGGTAGGCGAAGCACAGTTGTACATGTTGTTGGATCTCAGCTAATTCGGAAAAGTGTTGGCCTTCAAACTCCTTTGAGGTGGGGAAACAGGAAGAAGTCGTTGATCCAAAACTGGCACCTGGTGCTGCGAGGAATGGGTTACACAGATCGCAGTGTGCGGCCGGGCGTTATATGGGCAGATTCCACTGTCATCGGTATGTGGAAATCCAGCGTATGCATAGCAGCAGCGTTTCAAACCTCTTAGTATTCTGCATTGATGGTTGTAGCCGCGGGTACAAATTCACGATGAAAACCCTTACTGTCGAAAAAGACGATCAACAACGTCTTGATCCTGGATTGTGTCAACGACTTTTTTGGGGAGGGGTGACGACGTTGAACACCAGCCATGGATGCCGCTCTGGCTTGAATAGCACCACGACTCCCATGTAATTATTTTTTCCGGATGCCGGTCACACATGTCCGATAAATCTCCAGAGGTTTCCATCCGTAATGCTTTTCCTCGTCTGACGAGTACGGTAACGGCGCATTCTTATGCTTATGCAAATGTTTGTGCACAATGGTGCTCACACTGTTTTGGCTTATCTGCAATTCGCCCTATCATTCTTAAATAGTCGTCGATCTCCGGCAAGAATCGTCGAACTCATTCCACATTGTCTGGAGTTGTGCTTGTTGTAGGGTGCCCCGACCTCAGCTCATCTTTGACACCCTCCTTTCCATCTGTAAAGCGTTTAAACCACTCATAAACACACTTTTACTCACTGCTTCTTGACTGTAAACTTTCACTAACATGTCATGTGTCTTCATCGCCGTTTTGCCTAATTTGAAGCAAAACTTTATGCATTGCTCCATATCACACTGACTGTGTTAAACTGCTCATAGCAAGCGCTTCCTCTTATCTGTCGTAAAATAGCCGTTAGATGGCTCCAGATGACATTTCTATCACTGCGTCTGCGTGAGAGCAAGATTCTAACCGGCGCGGTTTTTTAATTATGAGACCAATCCCGAGCTTTCGAACACACTTGTATATATAAATAATTTTTCGGCGTGCCGATTACAACCAAAATACGAGGTTCACATCTACATGTTATAGTAGTCCTATATACAAAATTTCAACGTTCTGAGGCTACTCGTTTTTTAGTTATGTGAGATACGTACATACGTACGCACAGACGCCACGAAAAATTCTCTTTTGAATTTATTTAAAATCAGTTTTATAATTTTTTGGGGATAAAAAGTTCCTTTATTCTGTCCTTACTTGTGGATGTCCCGCAAAAACATAGTTAAATTGCATTTGAAAGCGGTCAAAATGGATATTTTCATTGAAATATGCTGCTTGAAACTTTTCGCGATTACAATACAGTCAAAAGTCATTAATCCGGACGCCCATAATCCGGAATGATCTATAATCCGGACCTCAAAGCTACAAACTTTCTGCGCATGCATCAGTGCATAATGTGTTCACGCATGCGAATATGCATTTACGCATGCGCATAATACGTATGATGGACAGTATAAGCTAAGCTAAAATTATCTACATGTCTATTTCAGGTAATGTTGCAGATTGCATTGTTCTTTAATCTCGAATTGGATCCGGCTTTATTT